TGATTCCTAGCACAATTGTGGCTGCTTTGTTTGCTGCACACCATGTTCTTCTCCTCCACAGGAAGTTGTAGTTAGCACTAACTGTAGTACTGCAGAATCAGAGCACAGTACAGCGCAGTCAGTAAGTCAGGGTTCTTGTTTCATTACTTAGGATCATAGGTAAGGCATTCTGTATAGATAAGAGCACAGTATAAAACTGAGTCTCCAAGAGTCTCTTCTATACCTGCGGGACAGGAGAACACCATGGTGGGTTATAAACTTACTTGTATACAGTGACTTGGATATTCACCCAAGCAGACAGAGCTGGTTAGAAACTGGGAGATAAACCTGAGTAAGATTTGTAGCAGCTCATGGAAAAAGGGAAAATGTTTAAGCATGGAGATCTGCCTTCTTCTGCCATGTGGCATGAAGTGTCATCTGTCTTTAAAAAAATTTTTTTTTTGTTCAGCTCAATTTCTCAAAATCAAGTACTTTTCCATTAAAATCCTGGAATTTCGGTTATGCAATAGAAAATGTATCATTTTTTTTGTTAGCGGACACTTCCCCTGTAACACTTCACTGAAAATATAATTTGCCTTCCACAAATGCCAACTATTTCACTTTGTTATTTTTGAACTGTCCTCTTGTCAGTTCATCCCCCTCAGGGGTTTGTGATGCAGGAAAGTTGTACTGACTAGAGTACTTTTTCTGGTTCATTCTATCCAAAAGCTAGTCCAATAATTGATGGTGATGAAAAAAAGTATCATTTTTCACATTATGCAGTCCTTGTGCACAGTCTAGAAGCAGTCTGTGCTTATTCTCATGTGTGCTTATTCTTTTGTGCAACATTAAATACTTGCTAACAAAATAATCATGTGGCTAGATCCACACTGCAGAATAAGTAAAGCACAGTGCAGGTGGTTCTTTGATTAATGGTAAAACAACTAGCACCAAAATTAAGTGTAGAGGTAGGAGTCATTCACAGCCACAAAAGTCGTGGTAAAACATCTCTGAGCGAATATTCTCTGATGGGTGATCCTCTGTGTCTTACTGCTTTTCATGTATTCTTCATCTTCTTCCTTCTTATTCAAAAATGGAGTCAGCTGTTGAAATAAGGTCTTAGAGAGCAGAAGCACAATTATGGAGAGGCCATAATTGTTAAAAAAATTTCAGAAGAAAATTACAAATTAAAGTGGAATGATTGTCTAGTTCACTCTGGCTTCCATTTTCTAATCATCCTAAATTATTTTAATGCATGTTTTCAAGCTCAAAATTAGCAAAGGTCCCATGATGTAATTCTCCTAACACCCATTGAATGTTACATTATACCAGTCCAATTTCATTCCAATCTTTTGCAGCAGCATCTCTCACTCAGGGCACCTCCCACCTGCTCTGTTTCTAGACAGTACTTTTAATATGTGAAGTTTAGGACTCATTGTGAAGTTAAAATTCATTTCTTATTTGTAAAGGCCTAGGAATATAAGATAAAAAATAACTCTTAAAACTTGTTTGTCTTTGAAATATCTTAAATTAATAATCAAAAGCTTGCATCAAGTCTAAAACAAATCAAACTCAGTCACGAAGATGAGAAACAGGAATTATTAACTGAGTAGCGAGGCTGATGGAGGCTCAATGAGATCATTTTGTTCAAAGATTAAAGGCGATGAACACTGAAATAGTTGTGGAGGATGGCTATGAACACGTCTGACTAGAGCTGCTAAATTCAGTAATGATCAAAAGTTAATTATCAAAGCAGAGAGAACTACTCAACACAGACAATTTGAGTCAATAGCTAAGCAGCCCAGAAAAGAAGTAATTTGGAAGAAGTATTTTCCTATAATGAAGTTATATAAAAGACGTACATTTCAAAGAAACCTGCCTAAAACAAGATTGCATTCTTCCTGATCAGAGAAAAATAATTAGCTCTAATTGACAGACCTGCTGCACACCAAATATTTTCAAACAATATGTTTCTGCATCAAAGCTTAATGTGTAGAGTTACTCAATGTCACTTTGATTTCGCCTTCCTTTATCTTCTGCCACTGGGCATGCTCATGATATCGCAGCAAATACGCTTTGAAAATGAGCAACACCTACAAGACAAATAAAAGCAGAAGGACAGATCCTGCATTTCTTTGTCAGACGGAATCCCTGACGTATTCTATGCTGTGTTTAAGATCACTGTGATCCCACTCAGAGGCAAAGTAAATTATTTGTAATAGGAAATGACCAGTTGCCTAATGATCTGACATTAAACTAGGCTGGCGTGTACATTAACCTGAGCATTTGCAATGTTTTTTGGGTTCTGTATAGGCAAGCACGTGTGAAGGACACCATCCCTCCAGCAAGTGCCTTTTCTTAAGAGTTAGGAAAGTCCCTTCTCCTGGTAACAAAGGTTAAAGAAAAGGGGAAATTCTCCATGTTAAAATCTAAGGAAAGATACATGCCAGAATATTATGGTCTAATAAAATAAAACATGTCTATAATTCTTTCTTCCTAAAGCTACTGCATTTCTTTCAGGGTAAATAGTTGCCATCAACGTAGCTAAGCGGTCAAAAATCAAACATCCAGTTTAGACTCTGCTCTTTAATATTCTATGACTTTGACATTGCCAGTTCTCACTCCCTGAAATATCTTCATCTTCTTTAATCTTTCATGTAAACAGTTTAGCTCACACCATCACGCACATGTCTTCTGCTGCACTTTGTATTAAATTGACTGCATTATCATTATTTACTTGTGATCCTAGGCACTCTCCATTCTTCTGTTTTCTCTTATTTAGCTGTATTTTGATACCTGGTTTTGTGTAGTGATTTTTCAATATTTTAAGGGAAAATAAATTGATTTAGATGCACATTTTGCATGCTTCAACTCAGAATTGTTATAGTCCAGCTCTTTGGTGGATAGAAAAGTCAGGCAAAATACCACTGTGCAGTCAAAAAGACTTGTGACACTGTGGAAGGATGTTTAAGAGCTTTAAAAATAATTTTAGTTTCCTGCAGGATGGGACTGAAATTTGGCATTTAGTGGAAGGTTTGGGAAACTGAAATGCCACTTTTGATGGTGTTTTGATCCATTTTAAATGAAGCCTTCCTATGTTGTTACATGTAGTTTATTACTTAGAAAGTTTCTTAATAACATGCTTCTGACTCTGCATTTGCATGTGGCCACTGAAAAAGGGAGTTTGGGGAGAGTATCATTGGAAAGGGACACAACTCCCACTGTCTCACTGTTGAGGCCAGGACCCCATTTCATCATAGGCTTGTTTGAGAGGACATAATTAGATTTGGATCTGTAACACTTACTTGTGCAATCTGAAGTTTAGCATTTCCTGGGGTTTCAGTGTTTATTTAGCACCCCTACTGTACAATTAATATAATTGATGGCTATCATGCATTCATCATTTTATTCGTTAGATGAAAAATATAATCCAAATGAAAAAAACCACATTTTTCTTCACACGCTGGGAGTCAGCCCAGAGGATTTCTGTTGTCCCATCCAAGCTCTCACCATGTCTCATTCTTTCTCCCAAATTTTGAAATCATTATTAGGAATTTCCATGGATTTAACCTCAGGTTTAACCTTTGCTATGACTGGAGGCAAAAGTGCCAAAGCAGCAGGTATTTTGAATACCTAGCCCCTGCGTAGAGCCCAAAGGAAAACTCATTTTGGCAGAGTTTGGAACCCAGTTATGCAGGTCCCATAGGTTTCAAAACTTAGTCAGTTTTCATAAAGGATTTAATTTGAAAAGGGCTTATGTGAGCATTTTTCAGAACCACTAATATTAGCAGTTCCTCTATAGGAACCATTTTATTTCCATCCCTTAGCATAGCAGAGGTTAAAGTTCCTTACCAAAACCCATTTCTTAAATTTTGGTAGACTTTATAAAAATATCTCTGAAGGTAATTAGGGACTGAAACTTTCCTTCCTATAATAGGTTTATGGATCAGTTGTCTTAATTCTGCCTTTCACCACTGTCCATGCCTGTAATCTCCCTAACCATCTGACCGCTTTCCACATTTAAATCTATTACAGTCTGGTTCTACAAACACTAGGAGGAATTCTCTGAAATGATACGACAACACTAGTTTATCTGACGCTGATATTTCCAGCCCTCTTTCTTTAAAATGTTATTTACCTATTCTGAACAAAACCAGAGTGGGATGCAAGGTCAGTTCAGATTACATAATTATGCCACAGAAGCATTAAAAGAAAAAATCTCCGCTAACATCTCGAGCAGCTTAACCAGTGTGATAGACTGGCGCGGCTCTGCCATCGGTGCCCCCAGCTGTGTTGCTTAGCAACATTTTAATTCAAGAAGAATCGAAGGAGATGAAATCCCCGTGGAGAGGGAAACAGAAATAAGAGGGCCGTTGACAGATGATCTGAGTTGTTTCTTCTAATATACTGTGAAGATCACTGGCTCTTTTCATGAATGATAAATGGACTGTACACAGATCAATGGGTTCAGCAATAAACTGGAACCAGGCTCCATGTCTGAGGTGGTGCAGGCCGAGAGGCCCAAAGATTTACTCATTTAGATGATTTGGAGTGTGTTTTCTCAAAGGTTTCGCAAGAGGAAATTGATCTGAACATTTGGTCATCCCTTGCCCTTTTCTGTTGCCGGTGAATAAAAACTGTTTTGGAAATGGAGGCTGTTCTTCCCTTTATTTTTTTCCTGTTGTTGTTCTTGCTCCAGATAGGAACAGATAGCTTGTGACAAAGGGGCCAGACCTCAGCGTGGGAAATGAAGTAATAGCCCTGAATGAGCAGTTCCTAAACACTTGTGGCCATTAAAAATAAACAAACCACACTGATATCACAAACTGGGGTAGGAGTATTTCAAACCCACAGCACTATCTCTCTGAAGGGTCTGGCTCTTGCAGCCCTCACCCCAGCTGCAGCAGCTGCAGAGTGTGTGTTGCTGAAGAGCTTCCACAGGTTGACGTTTGCTTGTGGCTTGGCTGTGCTTTGGTGTGGCGCTTAATGGTTTGTTTCCCCCACCCCTCTTCTGTTTGCAGGCTGCTGAAAAGACAAAATTGAGAAACATTCCTGTAAAGTAAGTTATTTTTACATCTGTTTGAAAATGCCAGTTTGACAACGTTGTTGTATATACAATGGCTAAAAAGACTGGGACAGTGAGGAGGGTGATGCAAGACAAAATAGAATTCATGTTGCCCCTAATCATAGCAATAAAAAGGTCAATATCATTGAGGAAAGCTTTTGATTTCTTATGTGTCCCTAATGATTACACTCCCCAAGTTTCATCCAGTTTTCATAAATTAATGTGTTGCTGCCAAATAATCACAATCATACTCAATACATAGTGCTCCTAGCCTTGGGGAGGTTTGTACATGCTAAAAAGATTATGATTTTTAATTGCAATCCTCAAGAAGGTTTGACGGGGGGGAAATAACTAGAAATATGCCAAATAATTTCTAGACACATGGGAATATTTTGCACCTATGTATCAAGGCTTTGCCATGCTGTTGATTAAGAGCTCTTTCTCACTCTGTGTGTGCATCTCTCTCACATCATACCCACATGTATGTTTCTGCTTTTTACAGTAGGGCTTTGTGAAGGATGAGCAAGCTACCAGGGAGCAATTTCAAGGGCATTTTATGAGAAGTTCTTAAATCTTAGGGCACCAGCAGCAACACTCAACCATATATCATTGAATTAAGAAAGTTGCTATATAGATGTCCTGGCTCTTTGAGAAAAGGCATTTTCAGTTAAAGCTACCAGCATCAGTGATTCTGGTTAAATAATGAATACTCCAGTCCTTATGGGCTCTTATGTACCAATAAAACACATATTTTTAGCTTCAGTATGTGATCATAGCAGTTTAACTAAGTTCCTGTAAGGGTATACTCGTGTTACAGACAGAGGAAATGTTCTACTTTGTTGATCATGCTAATTTTTGGACTGGAGTGGGTTTGTATTTGTAAGAACATGCACTGGCAGGACTCGCAGATCATTTTGTTTTAGCACACATAACAGAAGAATACAGTTCTACTTCTCACTTGACTTCCATCATGTATAGTCATTTACACCTTATAAAGTGGACACAAAATTTGTACGAACACTCCTTGGAGTGATTAGGCAACATGTAAGATGACCATAAATCACTCTCTCTTTATGTTTCATTCAGTCTGATAAAAATTAGAAATAGGATCCAGCAGGGACCTGATAGCACGTGTAATAAGACAAGGGACCTTTCTTGCCTATAGGGCTAGTTCAAATTCAGTGCAAGCTGAATTAAAGTCATTGTTAGCTGGTGGTTGTTTAATAGAGAGTGAAATGAGCTGTGTTTTCATGTCACATTATACAGGATCCAGGAGTTGCAAGGTGATGAAAGTCCTGGGGAACAATTCCAAAATAATCATGTATCATTCATCCACTTTTTTTAACATATATTTTGAGTCAATTTCTTAAGAATGACTCAACTGAATTGAGTTTTCCCCACATATAACAGAGACATTGAGCATTGCAGTTATTAAACAGCATGTATGTGGCACTGATGCCCAATTAATCCACCGGAAAGATTTGGAAATTGATGTGATTTAGGTTAAATAATTTTTTACACGACTTGAGTAAGTGTAACATTTTGAAATGGAAGAAGGCCAGATGGATAGTCTCGCTCTTTCCACCTACATATGTGTATTTCACCCTGTCATGTTTCCCCCAACTGGTTGTTTAACTTCTCTTTGACTATGTTCATGGTGGCAGCTTCAATTAGTACCCTAGGGAATCCATTATACATATTAATTACACTCTGCATAACAAAACAGCTGAAAAATCTGCCTAGATTTTTTTTTTCAGTGGCATGTAACTATTTGAGGTACCTGTACACAATTATGATTGTATGCTAAAATATTAGCTCTCAGGGCAAAAGTAAGAACAGTGTCTTTAAGATAGCAGTAGTAGCCATGGATTGTGTTTATATAAGCGTCACAGCCTCACTTAGTACAGCTCAGGCTTGGCTAGCTTTTAGTTGCTGCTTTTGTAGCTCTCAAATGTCAAGGAGAATTTCACTTGAATTTTAATGTTCTTCAGCTATGCAAAATAAAGTTAGTAGCTTCCATTGTCATAAGGGCTGAAAGCTGTACAGATTCCTTTTACCATATGTGACTTATCACATACATTTTTAAAAACACATTTCTGTTATTAAGACATATGTGATAGTACACTTCTGCAAATGTGAATTGCTTTTGGCTAAAAGCCATGCACTAATAAGTAGAGTTGAATCTAACTGCATTTGACATCTGCTACAATATATTTTTTTACATATATAGATCTATATATATAAAATATTCGCAGTTGTCATTAGCATAAAAAATATCCTTGTTTTTATGTTAAGCTGATTTAGTTCTTGTGTCCCAAAACTGGAAGCAGAAATTACTCCCTTTTAAATACTATAGCTTATATAGAGTCCTTGGACAGAGCTAATAGTGACACTATTTAACATATTAGTGGTTTAGGAGGATGATGAAGACTTCTGTAGAAATGGACTATTTACTTTTCATTGCTCACTTTATTAATGTTGCTGTTATAATGTTTGGTAGGAAGTTTACTGTTCTTTTATGTTCTTTTGAATCCCTCCAGCACTAAACAGTTAGGAAAGGAAAACCAAGGAAGTTTTCTTTTTACAGTTCAGTAAAGCAGCCAAGCAGCTGTTTCCTTAATGTCCAAGTGTCTGTCCGTGCTTAGGCTTAACTGGTGTGAACTTCATGACAGCCAGGGTAGATTCAGGTGGCATTTGGCTCCCTCAGAAGGCTTGGTCTCAATTCCATGTTGCTTGTAGCACTGCAAGGCACAACCACAACACCTCCATAGAACTCATCTTTATGTATTGGTTGCATCATCTGACATAATATTGCTATAAATAAGTGCACAGAAAATTTCTAAGTTGCTGTATCTGCAGAGCTGTTTGGGGCATGTTTTTAGGTGGAAATAATGCAGTTAACTTCTTCAAAAACATAAGACCCTTTTCTGTGGCACCAAAGTGGCCCCCATAACTGCAGATTTCATTACATTTAACTTATTTATGCTCTCCTCCCTTTGTCATGTAAGAAGCACTTGCCTTCTCCCATTGGTTTTGTTCATATTTACATTGAGAGTCTGTGGTAGGAAAGGGATTTCCTGGACATAAAGTCCTAGGTTGCTGGTCCTTACCATGCAGTTCCTATCCCTGAGTCTGAAAGAGGTAACATGATTTAAACAATTCTACCCTGTGGAGGGTTTATTTCTAAGGAACTGTTGCATGAGAAATGGTTTTGAATTAGGACACATCCAGAGGAATTAATCTTTTATATACCCTGTGATTTGATGGAGGAGGGAGAGAACAGTGATATCATTAAAATCCAATAGTAGCTTTGGGAAGGCTGTATGTCTACTAGTTGGGCAGAGACTGGTTAGGAAGATAAACAGATTCTTTTCAAGGGTTTTCATATAAAATGATGAGTTCTTTGCATGGCAGTTCCTTTTTGACTAAGGACTAGATACAATGTCACTCAAAACAAATGCCTCAGATTAGAGTCCTTTATGGGAGTGGCCAAATGGGAAAATGTGGGCAGGTGAAAGAATGATTTGGCTTGAACCTGATGTCATCCAACGCTACAAAGTACAAGAGTTTTGTAAAAAAGAAATTAGAATTTTTGAAGGGAAAATGAATGCTTTTAAGAGTGTAGTCATGTAGTCCATGAACTGCTGTAGAACTGTGAGAATATTGGAAGTGACTTCTTGCTTCAGGGGAGAAAACATTGCCTTCCTTGAGTGTCCTTTATACTTCCTTCTTTTATAGTCCCTTTTAAAATCTTCAATAGAAAGTAATGGCATTTTCCCCAAACACCTGCATATGCTTAAATTTGCTGTAGTTTTAATGACTTCCAGATACATGTTTTGGGATTATAGCTTGTGTTAAAATCCTGCTGCTTTTTATATTTTCAAAATATATTTGTTTTCCATCAGCCACAAGTTTGTTAACCAGCAAGATTTCTGGTGTTTATTGTCTTTTCCTGCCATAAAATTCATCTTCTCCTCAGAAGGGCATCTGACTTGACTTGGGCTTTCTATCCCAACCATCATTGGAAATGCAATCCATTAACATTTGATATCTTGACATTTCAATTGACCTCTCATTTGCAAAGCGCAGTGGTATTTTTCGTGGCCTTTTCATCCTTGATTATACATGGAATAGGAGTGACTGTTTCTACTGACTGCACTTTAAAAATATCTTTGTTTTACCAGCTGGAGTGGCACCTTGTTTTTGCCTCTCTGGATAGACCTTATTCTGCATGGAAGGTCTGAGGTCTAAGCAAGTCATGCAGAGCCAGAGGATTTTCTTATTGACTCACTAAGCAGGAGGGCGAGCAGGTCAGACTCTGAGGGTCAGTTAATGTATGCTGTAATAGCAGTAACCATAAACAGATCTTTTGCTCCCATTGGCAAAGGTGCAGGCCAGTGGGCTAGGTCTGAAAGTTGATTTGTTTTTAACCAGTCAGATCAAGCATTTGTACCCAATAGAGGTACAAAAGGGGCAGCATGCCATTGGTACACATGCTCAGCTCTTTCACTGCAGGGTGTCTCCTGTCCTGTATTTAAAAAGAGATGAAAAATGTATGTCATGTCTATGTTGAAAAAGCCTCCCATGCATGGATAATTGTATGGGAGGATGGCCCTATGTACATGTATGTATGTGAAGGGGGGTCGATTTAGATTGTGTATAAGGAAGAAGTTATTTACAGTGAGGGTGGTGAAACACTGGCACAGGTTACCCAGAGAGGCTGCAGATGCCTCATCCCTGGAAACATTCAAGGTCAGGTTGGATGAGGCTCAAGCAACCTCATCTAGTTGAAGATCTCTTCTCAGGACAGGGGGATTGGACCAGATGACCTTTAAAAGATCCTTTTCAACCCAAACTATTACGTGATTCTATGTATGTATTTGTACATACATGTATACTTAGGCAGCTGTAGACCAAAGGTACCTATGGACATTTTTGTGTGTGTACCTAAAGAACTTAAAGCCCTTTTAAAGGAACAAAGAGCCCAAACTCGC